TATTGGTAACATTGATTCATTACATACATCATTATATAAATCATACCCAAAAATATATTCATTTCTAATCAAATGAAAAACAAATCTTTTTGTTTCAAGTTGATTTTTGTCAAATTTGAAAAATATAGTTATGTAAACATAGTTTAAATGCTTTTAAAATGTATTATCATGTTACAGTATCAAAAACATTTTCGATTAAATAATAACAAAACAAATGTTCAAAAATGAGTTATTAAAGCATTAGTACCCAATAAAGTTGATTTTGGCAATTGAAGAGAAGCACAACAACACAATGAAGCAAGAGAAGTGCAGTTTTTAAAACACATTAATCCCATTCTTTTGACAGTTATAGGAATAACAACGTTATCAAGTGAATGACATCCGAAAAACGCCATGTCTTCTATTTTAATAACTGAACTTGGTATTTGTATATTCAATAATGAAACACTGTTTTTAAACATACATTTTTTCGAAATTTGTGAGTGTAGTTGGCAGTTCAATTTCAGCCAAGTAGACCAAATTAGCAAAGCACAAATGTTTTCTTAAAACAACACTTTTATTAAATAAAATGTTTTGTAAACAGTTTGAAATATTCAAATTTAGTCAATGTTTTGCAATCCGCAAAATATCTTATATACGATTTTGTGACTCCCCTCCCAATTTCTATGTTTTATAGTTCACAAAATTTGACCAAAAATTTATCATTGTAATTGGCTCCTATTGCAACAACAAACTTTGGGTATTTCTTTAACTTGCTGCACCCATACAATGTAAAGTCATCAATTTCAATTTGTGTTTCGTTTGTTTTAATTTCAGTAAGACTGGTAACATGATAGAACGTTTTGTATGGCAGTTTTGTCGTCCCAAAAAGCAATTTCACACTCTCAAGATGAACTGCGCAGCTGAATGCCCCAATACCCAAATGTATTAATTCGTTACTTAACTCGATTTTTGGTCTATTTTTAAAGTTGCACTCACAAAAACAGAAGTCGTTTATATCTTTAATTGCTCTAAAATAGATATCATCAA